GGTAGGAGAAGGTGCATGAGAAAGTCTGAGGGCAATGAGGGCGGGGTTTGGCGGCCTTGCACGCCGGGGTGAGCGGGGAAATGCAGAGCTACAGCGAGAGGTCCTGGGCGAGAGAGTGCAGTTTAATGTGCTTGTGGAGGGAGGAGGAAGAAGAAGGCTGTGGTAGAAGGGACTGTAGTGAGAGGGCAAGAGATAATGGGTTCAAGCTTAAACAAGGAAGTTTAGATTAGGTAGAAGGAAGAAGTTCTTTACAGTGAGGGTGGTGAGGCACTGGAACGGGTTGCCCAAGGAATCTGTGAATGCTCTGGCAGTGTTCAAGGCCAGGTTGGACAGAGCTTTGGGTGACATGGTCTAGTGTGAGGCGTCCCTGACCATGGCAAGGGGGTTGGCACTAGATGATCTTAAGGTCTTTTCCAACCCAAACCATTCTATGATTCTAAGGCACTTGGCTTGTAAAAGACCGGTTCTCAGGGTATGGCTTTGAAATCACATGTGCACACCAGCAGCACTAACACAAATAATGAATGTGTTCTCTTGTCCTGTCTCTCCCGGTTGCACTAGGTGTCTGCTTGCATTCCTGTACTTAGACTGGCCAGAACCCGCAAGAAGGTTTTGTTTTACTGTCACTTTCCTGATCAGCTTCTGACCAAGAGAGAGTCTCTCCTAAAGCGCATCTATAGATTACCGCTTGACTGGCTGGAAGAGTACACGACTGGCATGGCAGACTGTATTGTTGTGAACAGCAGGTTCACTGCCAGTGTGTTCAAGGACACGTTTAAGTCCTTATCTCACATAAACCCAGATGTTCTCTACCCATCGCTCAACATCAGTAGCTTTGAAACAGTTGTTCCTGCAGACATAGCTGACCTGATACCGAAAAAGAAAAAGTTCTTGTTTCTTTCCATTAATAGGTATGAGAGAAAAAAGAATCTAGCATTGGCTCTTGAAGCTTTGCATGAGCTTCAAGGAAGACTCGATTCTCATGAGTGGGATGAAGTCCACCTGGTTATGGCAGGTGGTTATGATAAACGAGTTCTGGAAAACGTGGAACACTATGAAGAGCTGAAGAGACTTGCAGCCAAGCTCAGTATTAATGACCATGTCACTTTCCTGAGATCCTTCTCAGATGAACAGAAAATTGCTCTTTTTAATAACTCTGTATGTGTGCTTTACACACCAAGCAATGAACATTTTGGCATTGTCCCGCTGGAGGCAATGTATATGAGATGTCCAGTTATAGCGGTTAATTCAGGTGGTCCTTTAGAATCAATCTTGCATAATGTTACAGGATTTTTGTGTGATCCTCTGCCAACACAATTCTCTGAGGCCATGGAAAAAATTGTGAGAGATCCTCTCTTAAAGAACACAATGGGAGCAGCTGGGAGAGCCAGAGTTATGGAAAAATTTTCCTCAGAAGCATTCACAGAACAGCTGTACCAATACATATGCAGATTAACACAATAAAATTATATTCCCATATTATATTTTACTGCTTTGTATGTCTCATTTGTATAGGGGACCGGTATTTATTGTGACTATGATGAAGAACCTGGGACATATGAATTTCCTTGCTGTTATTCTTGTGCTGCCTTATGTCGCTTGGTACAAAGAACAAGCAAAACACGTCCCCCACTGTCTCATCAGAAGGTTAAAATTTTCATGTGGTAGGCTGGTCTGCCACTGCAGTTCTTCTGTGAATGGTGCCTTGGAAAAATTGATAGTTAAATGGCAGTAACTTCCTAGAAATTACTGGACCTTTAATACTATACAAAATGTGATTCTGTACAAATGCACATTTTGTAAATGGCTAAGACATGTGCCACTTTATGTACTTAAAATGTTTAGGAGAACTTTTTGAGTAAAAAGGGTATCTTGGCTGAATTACGAAGAGAATTGCACAGCCAGTCAACTGCAGGTTTTAAAAACACAGCACTGTTGGGCATAGTTTTAAAATGATTGACCTTTTACTGCTCTTAAATTGCATCATGTAGTCACACTGGGTGTCTTAAGTGTAGAGGTGTGAGCAGGAGGAAGCAGACTGGAATAAAACCAGAGTTCATCAGACTACCTCAGGCAAAAATGTTAGTGCTGAAATGTCTGCAGGTATCTGCAGTGCCTGAGGGTGTAATTTTACTTTGAGACATCCCGGTTTGTAGAGACTTAAATGATATCCCCTCTACTTAACATTTCATTCTAAATGACAGCACACTTTAAAAATTTGTTAAGCCAGAGCAGACAATAAAGACATTTTATTTTGCCTGTTTTAATGGTAACTTTTTGGTATAACTTTTAGGAATAATTTAGTTGGGGGATACTTTCTTCCTAATGCAGTGACTGCATGTATGACAGTAATTTGACTTTCTCATTCTTTGAAATCACGTTTTATCTATAAAACGCAACTTTGTAGTCTGAATTCTGCAATTTGTATTTAAAATAGTTTCAGGCATTTACACATTTAGTACTTCACAGCAAAGTTGTTCCTGTTGTTTAGGACTATAACCTAGGTCTCAGCAGTAGGCTTTTACTTAAAACAAACAAAACTCCACAAAGTCTGTCCTTGTCTTTAATCAGGAAATTGGGACACTATAATGCTTATTCATTATCAGTTGGGAGCAGGTGGTCTCACAGGCCCTATTTCCAACATTTCTGTTCATGTCAGAAGAACTGGCAGGCCCCAGTCTATCATCTCTTGTCTGTTCGGTGTTTGTACTCCTTTCCCACCCCTTAAAAGTTTTCCTAAATCTTTGTGCAGCTGCATTAGGATGGGTGTAGCAGTGATTGACTGAAGGGCCTGGAGAGAGTGTTAAAATAATCTGTAGTCATTGATGTTAACACCTTCAAGACATGTTTGGCCTGGGTTTTAAGCTCCAGTTAGAAGGTGCAAGGTGGTTGGAGCCAGTTCCTCTGGTTGCTTAGTTTATGTTACATTCTGCTCTCCAGGTTGCACTGGAGTTAACGTGGAGCCTAAGGTACACACCAGAGCACACTTACCAGCATAGCTGCAGGGGTAGCTCCGTTTATGCTCAAACCGTGGCCACCAGCCCTTTCCTGAGCTGTGCTACTGGCTGGCATGTGCCTAGCCTTATGGCCGGAGCTGCTGTTGACTGGATTTCATGGATTGCACTCGGACTTGACCTGCCATCTCCTGGTGACCACTGGGACTGTCAGCAGAATTTTCCTGCTTGACTACTGGGCCCTAGCCAGTGACAGCACTGTCCTGTGATGTGATTTCCTTCACCTTTTGACTGTCATTCCTTGCAGAGCAGCCCCAGCCTTGCTGCTTCCTGACAGCTACCTTGGGCCATCTCAAGTCCTGATCTTGGTGGGTTTAGGGTCAAGGGCTTGGGCCCCTTCAGGTGGCCTTGGGGCCAAGTTTTATGACACATAGCTGCAAGGAGGCTGTGGAGGCAAGCCCTGGCTTAAGTCTGAGGGCCAGGCTCCATGGTACTCAGTCCAGGGCTTGAGAAGGGCTCAGCTACTGCCAGGGAGCAGCAAAAGCAAGACTCTCACAACAGAGAACAGCCAGGGACTGATCTGTGTCCTGCTTGCTTCATCCTCAGTAATCCTGGACTTTTGCTGTGTTTACTTATCTTAATTTTCTGTCTTAAACTGTTGGGTGCTACTGCTGTGCATGAGGAAAGCTAACTAAAAGCTAACTGTTCTAATACTACATAGGGCCTCAGAACTGTAGCCTTTTAGATTAAAGCTGTGGTTGTCCTTAAATGTTTTCAGATTATGTAGTGACTCATTGATACATTCTCTTGAGCATCTCTTCATCTAGTCCCAAACTGCTGTTTTAAAGACCCACACAATAAAACAAAGGTTTAGGTTTGCAGAAGAAAGAAACTTACTGTTTCAGAAGTGCAAGCACCCAGTTGGTTCCTTATTTTATGCCAATGTAGCTTTGTTTCCTTTCTACTTCCTCTCCTGCTTTTTAGAAATCCAATAAGAATCTTAGTTACATAGGGTGTCCTTCTCAGTGATGAACCACCTGTCAATTAGACAGAAGCATCTCCTTACTGACAGAAGACGAGTGCCCCCGTATTTTACACATCAGCATGATGTAAGGTATGTCAAGTATATTGTGGTGTGCTGTCTCTAGACCAACATAAGACAAGAAAACAAGGCTCACCAGTGCTGAGTTTCCAAAATGGCAGGGTTTTAAAGCAATAATTATTTGTACCTGTTGTGAACCTGGTTTAGAAATCCATATTCTTTGTGTGTATCTATCTTTCCTCCCCTCTCCTTTATTTAAATAAAAATTCCTTTAAAAGAGAGTTTTATTTAAATCAAATTGTGCAATCTGCTGTCCAAAGAAATATTAAGTATTGGAGTAGTACAATTAAATAAACTATAATTAGCCTACAAGAAAATTAAGGTTTTAAATTCATATCCCACCAGTGTAGTGTGAAGGATGATGCAACAAGAAGAAAATGGTTGCAAGGAGGAATTCATGTCCTATCCTCTCCTTCCCATATTTGCACATCCTTCTATCTTCAATTACAACCCAGATATATTAAAAAAGCCAAATAAAGAAGTTGTTTAAAGCAGTTGGGCAAACGAAGGGTAGGGTACATACTGATGTGAACAAAGGAAGGCAACAGTTTTCTTTCTTCAATTTACCTTTAAATTAGTACCTGTAGTAAATAAGAAAAGACACAAAAATTTTCATATGCATAATTTTTGTACACTCTTTTCAGATTATTAAAAAAAGCAACAATGGGAAAGCCACCAATTTCAGGGTTAAACCAGCCTGCTAATGCTGCTTCTTTTCCTCTCCTCGCCCCTTCATTACTATTTTTTACTCTTTCACACAATATAAAAAATTTATAGATTTTAGCGTTCACATGGAGTCTATAAAAACCTTGTGCTACATTATCATATTGCTACACTTTATTCCTTTTTATTATGGCTTTATTATTCTTTCTCATGGATGAAATGGCAGATATTTTATTTTGAATTGTAATTTATTATACGGTTAATATCACAGGGGTATTTTTAATGAAACAGTGACTGTAGAATACTGAAAAATTATAGTATTATGAAAGGAGTATATGCAATAGCATGAATGTTAACTCAAATAGTAGAGAAGGAAATAGACGTTTTAATTATAGTTACCTTCATCTGCTTTTATGAAGAAAGTAGAAGATGTTACCCAATAAGTAATAAATCAGAGGTGATTTATTGATGTGCAGTTCTTCAGTGGCAGTTATTTTATGCCCAAGATAAACTGAGGTGATTCCAGATTTTTACACTGTTAGTCATAAGGGAAGACCAACAAGTTTGACCTCGTGAACTCTGAAACAAATCTATTAACATTATGGTATCTTTATGACTCCAATTCCTGTGCACTGAAAGAGAAGAAGGATGCAACGATTGAGGAAATGAAAATAGCAACCAGTTAGAGTTGGTTTACATGGAGAAACTGAGTAAGTTTTAAAACCCTTATGTAAGACAATCAATTGCTGGGAAATGAGCCTTCGAATAACCTACATCACAACTACAGACACATATCGTACTTTATTGAGAGAACTTTTCCCCTCACAATTATACACAGAATTCCTACTCTGTATAGCAAGATTTGTAACAGACAAGAAATCGAGAAGCCCTCTTCTGTTATTCCCAGGCAAAAGTAAAAACCAACCAACCAACCAAACCAAACCAAAGAAAGTGTAATTCTTAGTTGTGTCTGTATTTGCAAGTGTGTAAAACAAATCACAGGAACATCACACCTTCTCTGATCTACTCTTTCTTAATCTTGATCCTCACCTAGGATTAGCCCTGTAAATAAACCTACAGGAGATTGAGGTGCTATGTGAAATAACAAACAAACCTAGCAACGATTAACTGCAGGAAGAGATTCTGACCATCAGCTCCCGTAGGAATGCAGGACAAGAGGACAAAGAAATAGGAAAACACTAAAGCTATCAGGTACCTCTCACTGGCACTCCTCTTCTAGCGCCTGACATGAGACAGACCTATTTGCCTCCTTCACCCTTTAAAAAACAAGACTAACATGGTAAAGGACTGCTCAGAGGGACATAGTGACTGGAGCCTAGCAGGACATCTGACCCTCCCACCAAGGTGAGAGAGGTCCAAATAAAAGCTTCTACAAGGGCAGCGCAGGTAATGCAGCAGATGAATGAAGATACCCGATGTTCTAGTGGGGGCTCATCAGTAGTCAGGAAGAATGAAGCCATTATTTGTGCTGCTGGAGGAACCAGCACTCGTATAGGCCAGGAAGAAATCCAGAACCACTTCAATCCCCAGTTATATCAGTTTCCCTCTGCTCAATCCTTTCTCTTGCTTCTCCCTGCCTGTTCAGATCCAGTCAGGATAGAGTTAGACTGTCAGGGACCAGGAAGAGCCATTTGGTCACTAAGGGGCAGGAGGGCAGGGAGCCAGGACCAGTGTGTAATAACGAGGTAGGCATCCCACAGTATTCAGACAAGGTGAGCTGGGCAGGCCTGGAGATGTCAGG